CACACATAAAAAAGTTAACTTCAAATATGTTTTATTTGGCATCACTTCTACCAAACCCAAGTCATGAATTATCAATTATAAACCGGAATTATCAAATATGCAATGTTCCAACAACATACATTATTTCCCTCATAGTTCCTACACATATCCATTGATGTTAATAACCACAAATGCAAACATTATTTATGCCAGAACTATATTATGCATAAGTACCTGTAAGCTTACTACACAGCCAAAGAAGGCTCTCGTGGTGCGAACACCAGCCACATCAACACTACCAATAGCAAAATAAACTATAAGCCAAATATGCACAAAGAAATTAAACGGAAGACAAAACTGGAAACTTAGTCATGCTGTGAAGCAAGTACTTGTTCTTTCTTACTAAGATTTACTAAGATGGATTGATGAATAATTAGGTGTTTCATTAAATTTTTTTCCTACGATAATTGGCCTGTTCTTTCTTACTGGAAACTGAAAAATTACATGACTGTCATTCAATTGCTACATTAAAGTAGTGAGGACAATATTACCCAAATTATTGTTTTATACACCATGCTTTTTGGATGTTTTGCACTTTATTAAAATTTTGAGGATAAAAAATGATTGAATAATATTTTTCTCAAAAACAACATACATGCAAAACGAATATCACATGAAAGATGTTAAATTCTGATCTAAAGCAACAGAAAAAAAAATACTTGATAACTTGAAATCCGATAATGTTTTCAGCGAAAAAATATCGTTTCCTATACCTCTCATCTTCAAACATGTTAAATAAATAAAATCTACTACCAACCATACATAGTGTTATTTCTTATTGATGAACAAACAAAACTTGTAAAATAAATGAAATAGAATCCAACAGACCTCATCATAGCCTTCACCACTGAACGATGCACCATCACAATAGCGAACCTTGACTCTATTCCAGTTGAAAAAATCTGCAACCATCAAACCAATATAAAAAAGTCCATTAGCAGCTCAGCCCATCTCCATTGTAATTGTGAGGGCAAAAAAGTGAGAGGGGAGAGAGGGCGGCGGGGCGGCAGGGAACAAAGGTGACGAGAGCTGGGGGAGAGGAAAGAAAGGAGAGGAGAGGGCGGCGGGGCGAGGGCGAGAGCGGAGAGAGGACTTATGGGGGGATTTTGGATTTCGGGTTTTGGGTTCTAGATGGGGCTTCATGGATTTTAATGGGTTGTGGGTTTTGTTAATAGTAATAGGTTAACTTTTCAGTCCTATTATGATTAGGAGTATTATCAATGAAGGTAATGAACCCCTTTGTCTTTAGGAAGACCCAATAACATCGGTATTAAAATCAAATCAATGAAGGGACTAAAAAACCGTTATCACGTCTCATATCATTCCTCTAATATTTGTAATCGTTCGACGAAGGCTTTAAAACCCGTCGTTATTATATGAGCATTAATGATGGTCAGCTGGTCCATTCACTAATTTTGGTCGTTAAATACGGGATTTCTTGTAGTGGGAGGAAAAGTGAGATACACCATACATTTTTTCCAATTCATGAAATTGTAAGGCATATAAGTTATCAGACATGAGGCGTACATTGAAGTTTCACGTGTAATTGAACAGATCTGATATTGAATATGTAAGGTCTTTGTTGAAATTCCTTAAACATATCCACCAAGAATCTGCATATCTAAAGTTTAATATGTTGAATTTTCTTTCTGATATATAAATGGTTCTTTATACTTGTTTCATTCTCTGAACGATCAATTGGCCATACTGATGTGGTTAGAGAAACACTTCAATAAGAGGTTGAATCTTTTATATTCTTACTTTTGGTCATTTATTGAAAAACAATAAATCCTCAGCAATCTATCCTCGAGCCATTTCAAGTCTTCATTTGAATATTGGTTCATGGTGTACATGCTGCATTTCATAATTCAGTTGATATTTCTCGGCCTACAATTATTTGAGGAAACTGATATCTTCTTTGAAACTGCATTAATATTGTCATTATTCATTGTACTCTTTTAGCTTTATTTCTCTGGGATTTTTTTTATCTGTTAACGCTGCATAAGCAGTGTATATTTTCTTTTAGACAGAAGTTATTTAGGCTAAACAACAAGAGATGCTGAATCATTCATTTTCCAATATTTTTGCATTCACTTTAATATAGTGACATTTTATTAGCTGATAAATGTTTCCGATGTTGGTTTTTCCCTTTGGAATATTCAGGTTGATGGAGGATCAAACGTGGAAAATCTAGGGTTGCAAAATATTCAAGCTCGTGTAAGAATGGTTTGGGCTTTTATGCTTGCATCTCTAATGCCATGGGTCCACAATAAACCTGGTTTTTATCTCGTGTTGGGTAGTTCAAATGTTGATGAAGGTTTGCGTGGTTACTTGACAAAGGTAAATATTGACTTTTGTTTAATTCCCTTATTATTCATTATTTCCTGATTGATGACATGACAACAAATCTTGAAGTATTTTTAAGCGATTTAAATTTAGAGTACAGGCAAGCATGAAGTTTTCAGTGCTTTACTTTTGACTATTAAAGACCTAATTGAATCTTGATTAGTTTAGTGTTCTTGTCTATTTCGAGAAAGTGTCATTTCTCTACATGGTAATTTCCAACTATTTACTTTTTTTCTTTTGTTGTAAGTTACTGCTGATAGGTTTCTTGTATTTTTTATATCGTAGTAGTTGGAATTGTTTCCATAACAGTGATAGATATTCAGATTTTCTCTGCAGTATGATTGCAGTTCAGCAGATATCAATCCAATTGGCAGTATAAGCAAGCAGGATCTCCGTGCTTTTCTACGTTGGGCTGCAATTCATCTAGGATATTCTTCTTTGGCAGAAGTTGAAGCAGCACCTCCAACCGCGGAACTAGAACCGATACGTTCCAATTATAACCAGGTAATCCTACTTAAGTGCGCATAGATGCTCCTCTTGTTCATTAATTCATAGAGATGTTCTTGGAATCTTCAGCACATATTTTATATTAATCTCATAAATTTTCCATCTTTTAAATCTAGAAAAGATGCGTAAGTAACTGCTTCTTCTGTATTTCATGATTTATTATGTTTTTGTAATATGAGATGGCGATAACAGCGTGAATTTTCACATTTCACATGTGCATGCTTATATTTTGTTAATGTACTTTACATATGGGCTGCCATTACCTATTTGGATTTAATGATATCCCAAACATAACATTTTAAAAACGCCTCTTTTTATCATGCTTTTAGAAAAGTCTTGGGCACCATAATACTCTTTTAACTGTTTGCTTCATGAGGCATGGGCTGTTATTTTTGTTGAGAAAGATTGATGCAGCAGCTGCTGCTGATGATGATAAGCCATTATTTGGCCTATTTGTTATGCATTCATCCATTTTATGTTCAAGGTATGCTGTATTTAGATAGATATGCAACTTGTATATGATGCTAGTGGACTTGATACCTACTCAGTTGATTGCTCTGGTTTCACAGAGAACTTAATTGATTCTTTTAATCAAATAAGTTAAATTATTTGCAGATGCCTCTTTTCTTAATGAATTTTGCATACAACTCGAAAGTCCGCAGACACCTTTTTCTTATGAATGTTTGCATAGGTCGATAATTTCAAAGCAGATTCCTTTTTGATGACGAATATTGCATATTGTTCCTTCCCTCATAATTGGTTTTGATGAATAGTCTCTGAAAGACAGACTTTAAATGCTCAAATCTCTACTTTGTTCTGAACACAGTCTTGCACTTTCATGACCAAAGATATAAGTGAACCAGTTTTTTTTATGCCTTTCCCTTGGAATTTAAAATCATAAAAGGATAACGTATGACACATCAATTTAAGATTTTGAAAACTTGCAAAACTCTAATATTATGGTCCATGTGCAACAGTTGGATGAAGTGGACATGGGGATGACATATGAGGAGTTGTCAGTCTATGGAAGGCTGAGGAAGATTTTCCGCTGTGGACCTGTATCAATGTTTCAGGTTAGCTACTATGTTTTATGATTTATTCTCTACCAAACTCTCTCTCACAGACTCACACAGGTTGTTCAATTTTACTTTTAATTTTAAGGCTTAAGTTGAAACTGGAGTTGGTATCTCTTAGTCATTACTGAAAATCTGCTTTAACATGTGATAAATAGATTTTTTAAAATTGAAATTTTATTTGAACAACGAATTTTCGTTTGGGTTACGTTTGTTGATTTATTCTCTTAACGTAGCATATTCCTAAAGTGAGGGAATTTGAGAAGCAAGAAAATTCCTGCTTGTTTCACTCGTAAAACCTTAGTCCAAAATCTCTCTACTAAATTTAAACTTCGAAATAACATTCCTTCAGTTTTATGTGGTCTTTCTAGATATATACCCTTAAGCTTTTCATTTTTAAAGATTGCGCTCGAAATTGCTTTTTAATACTTATGTTAGGGCAAGCTTTAATTGATTTTACATTTCTTTCTATCTTTCTCACAGAATCTCTGCCATAAGTGGTGCGGGAGATTAACACCATCTGAGGTTGCAGAGAAAGTGAAGCACTTCTTCAAGTATTATTCAATCAATCGACATAAAATGACTGTACTGACACCTTCATATCATGCTGAGGTATTGGTCTTTCCATCCTGACATGAACAAACTGCAATTTATTTTCCCATTAGAAATTTCTGTTGCAATTTTACGATAAGAATGAAAATCAAAATCTGCAGAGTTATTCGCCAGAAGATAATAGATTCGATCTTCGCCAATTTCTGTATAACTCAAGGTGGCCTTATCAGTTCCGCAAGATTGATGAGCTTGTTCAAGATATCGATGGTGATAAAACTGCTACAATTCCAAATGTAAAGGTTTCGGAAGTCACTTCTGGGGGAAGTGGTTTGGGCGTTGTGGCTGCAGGATCTGGCAATCCGGAGGTTGGCCGTTGAGAGACAAAAGTGGAGAAGGCAATCAATACATAAAATATCAGGTTTCTCTCTTTTTCTTGACACGTAAAATATGCTTTTGATAATCTCATGACAGTAAGTTATAATCCTTGGTCTCTATTGGCAGTAGAAACACTGCATGAGTATATGAACCATTAAAACGGTCACATATGACAATTATAGCATTACCCCTGACGTATTTGGGAAATTTGGCACTTTTCAAAGTACTTGCAATATACAATGATATATTGTAAAGAAAGCATATACAGGGAGATCATGCAATGAAATCAAGTTAAAATAATATAGCTTAGTCCTTAAGTTTCTACTTTGACTATGTTAGAAAGTAGTATTTACCTTAGAGTTTTTATGTCCGTTAGTTGACTGAGAATTTTCCTTTTGCAGTGTATATTCTCACAGCGAGATAAAGTTTCAACCCGAAATATGGATCAGAGACCACTTTTACAGGAAATTTAACCGTTAAGTTAGTGATCGGCATATTGCCCAAATTCTTATACCCGTGTCTGTTGAATAACAATAAATTTCAGCAAGTGCCAAATAAACTTGCCCAGTCTTTTTTTTTATTTTTGCCAAATAAACTTGTCCAGTCTTTGTTTTTTTTTTTTTTTGGCGAGGGAACTCCACATCATTTGGACCATGAGTATCAAACTACCGGGCGTGGCTAAGGGTTACCCTCAACGCCCAGCCTTAGATATTCTAGGAAATTAATTTCTTGTGAGTGCTTCTCAGGAGAGTCGAACCTGAGACCTAGCATACTACTCATAGGCAGCTTACCGACTCGTCTAGACCCAATTGAGTGAGTTGTCCAGTTTGTATTAACTGTATGTATTTAATTTGTTGAGCCAGAGATTTTTCAAGTTATATATCATGGCTAGTTCCTCTTAAGTTTGTAGAAGGTTTTAATTTGCATGTTTCAGATAGTCTTCATGACCGGTAATGGAAGAAATTTTCAAAATCGCCTCAACAGAATTTTTTTTAAAAAATAGACCCCATTCACTTTTAATTATAAAAATCGATCCACTTTGAGTAAATTGCGGTATTAATTAGTCGGGGTTGCTAACCCCGACTAATTAGTAGCCTCATTACAAACGGGGTCAAGGAGTGGAGAAGGTTTGTGGCTGCTAATTAGGCTACTAATTAGTCGGGGTTGGTAACCCTGACTATTTAGTACTGTAATTAACTCAAAGTGGGTCGATTTCTATAATTAAAAGTGAATGGGGCCGATTTCTTTAAAAAACAATTTCGTCGAGACGGTTTTACAAATATCTTCATTTGTAAACGGGTCTCTTATGTATACAGGACTGCCATTCAGCATGTGGGCCGAGATATGGGCCTGAAGAATACCCATTTAGTCGGGGTTGCTACCCCCGACTAATTAGTAGCCTCATTACAAACGGGGTCAAGGAGTGGAGAAGGTTTGTGGCTGCTAATTAGGCTACTAATTAGTCGGGGTTGGTAACCCTGACTATTTAGTACTGTAATTAACTCAAAGTGGGTCGATTTCTATAATTAAAAGTGAATGGGGCCGATTTCTTTAAAAAACAATTTCGTCGAGACGGTTTTACAAATATCTTCATTTGTAAACGGGTCTCTTATGTATACAGGACTGCCATTCAGCATGTGGGCCGAGATATGGGCCTGAAGAATACCCATTCCGACGTGCTGTTTCCAAGTTGACTTTATTCGCATGCCACGTTGAGGAGGTTGAAGTGGGGCCCTTCCACAGTTCTAAACTCGTTTAGTACCAGCCAAGTAAATCTCACCTTTTGCAGACGGGTTATATAGGGTAAGTATTATAATACTTCATAATTAAAAATTAGGAATAGACATGCGATTGGTAGTACAAAGAAAGTGTCTATTAATCCTAAAATGATTGAGGTGCTGATGGTCCTGTAGCCCAATGCAACCCCCTTTTTCTTTTGCTCCAAAGGCAAAGGAGGGACTTCGGTGGTCAGCTTTGCACGCGCAACCCACCCACCAAATTATGCCTTCTTTTTGACCTGGGTGCTACAATATAACAAACTATGTGGAGAGGATGACCCCCCCCCTCTATATCAATTAAATATGGGGGGAGTTTTTGTCACGAAGGCAGTGCCAGTAGAGTTGTAGCAGAAACGTTTAGCTTTAACTCTGTTATAGACTTTTAAGATAACTAGTATGCAACACGAGCATTGCACATGAGAACATGAGGCACGCTAGGATACCATACAAGACGAGACATTTGAAGGCTAACTAATATTACATACACCAAAGTTATCGTTATTTGTAGGAACATTCTCATACTCGCCAGCACCATCCGCTCCTCCAAACGCGGCAATACTTGCAACCAGAAAGCAGCCAAGAAAGCAGAGGAACTTAATTGAAAACTCCATTTTTTTATTATTATTAATCTTCATTGTATAATATAGTCTCTAGTTTGCTCCGTAGTACATGGTGGTTGAGAAATTGGTAAAGGGTTGCCATATTATTTCCATTTAGGTTAAGTGGAGGCATCACTACATTGTGTCCTATAGGAGTAAGCCACGAAGGATGGAAGCTGATCTAGCAATAGTATGTGACCCAACCCAATTAAAATGATGTGTTGGATCTAAATGTTTCGAGTTTCATGTAATGGTATATGATTGAGCATTAAAGCGGAAAGTGTGAACTTATAGTCTTATATAATGGGTTGAAAGGAATACAAGGAACTTATAGTTTCATGAAAATTGTGCATTATAGTGCATGCAATTATTTACCAAAGGGCAAAAATGACTAAAATGGCTAAAAATCATGCGTCATAGTTCATGAAAATTGTGAAGTTTGACATTCAAATCACATTTCCAATTATTCACATCCAATTTTTGGAAGGGCTTCCAGAATTCTTTCAGCAGCCAGCTAGCTTATAGCAGCGTTTTTCACCCATGTATGTAGTGAAAATTGCAATGAAAAGAATAAAAGAAAATGACTTGTATTTCTTAATTCCGATTACAACTTGATTACAAAGAGAGAGAACGAAATTGGTCTTCCTTTTTGTTTTAAACTGGGTTCTTCACGTGGCGTAGGAATGCTCCCTCTGAATGCTCGCGTCGAGTTTGCTCTCCGTGACGATCCGCACGTCTGATTCAGCTGGGAACGACTGTTTCTCCTCACGATTTGACGTATGTGGACGAACTTAGCGTTGGCAAGTTTAGAAACTCTGAACGAGTGATAACGGCTGATGACGAGTTTTACTCTTGAAAAGAGTGATTTATAACGAAAATCGTTAATAGCCAAGGATAGGAAGCTCCTGCTTGCGGCAACGGTTGAAGATGATCTTCCTTGAAGATGATCGCCGATCTCTTCTTGGAAAGTTCGCCCCAATGATCGTCCCCTGGTTGACTAGCCAATTCTGCAGCTCCAAAACCAGCCTCAATGCGATACCAGCCTAAGAAAAAATCGAACCTTAACTCGAGTTCTGAGTTACTCGCTGTTTATATAGGGATACATGGGGCCGGTGAACTGCCCTCTAAAATCCCGCCTCCTAAGTGGGCGTTGATTTCCTCAGATAGTGGGAAAAAACGGTTCTGCAAAGACCGTTCGATCTCATATTATGAATGAGTCAAACACCCACGTTGGTGGCTTCAAGATCTCAACCTCGCGTCGTAGGATTGAGACGCCGAGGTGGCGTGTTGACTGAATCCAGAACGCGAGGTCCGCTCACGTTTCGCTTGTTGTACAGCGGGTCCGACTCCAGCTTTTGAGTTGTAACGCGGGTTTCGACCCTGGCGTTTTGATGTCATGACGCGGGTTCGACCCTGGCGTTTTGATGTTGTAACGTGGGTTCGACCCTCGCGTTTTGATGTTGCAACGCGGGTTCGACCCTGGCGTTTTGATGTTGGCACACGGGGAGGACCTCCGCGTTTTATCTTGAAGAGATTATCACAAAGTAATCTCTTTTGTCATAGCGTTGCAAAGATCATTGTCTTGTAATCTTCGTCTTGGCTCCTTGAGAATATGAGAGTCGTCAGATTGTAACTCCCGATGTTGATTGTGAATGCTGTTGAACTAGAGCTTCTCATCGGTTGTCGTGAAGGTCGTCAGATTGTAACATTCAGCGATCTACGTGAAAGTTTTCAAATTGTAGCCTTATGGAAGTCGTCAGATTATAACTTCCATCATCGGTGTTTGATGGAGGATAAGCTATCTATTGTGATTTTTAGACAGCCTACAGAACCCCCTTCAAAGTTTTCGAAAGTTCGCGGTTGATTGGGACGAATTTTCGGAATACTTTGGATCTCACTCTAATCCTGGAGCTGTTGATTTCTTGTCGTAAAGGAGTCATTCTCTGCACTCGCTTCGAAGGCATTTTGGTTGAAGGGATTTGCCACGTAGGACCTTTGTGAAGGTATGCGTCATAATCCTGCTTCTGGAATGCGGGGGTGGACCCCTGCATTTTGAATTTGAGACGCGAGGCTGACTTCGGCGTTTTGGATTTGAAACCCGGGTGTGACCTCGGCGTCATGATTTTTGTAACGCGGGTCTGACCTTGGCGTTTTTAAAGTTAGAACCAGGGTGTGACCTCGGCGTCATGATTTTTGCAACGCGTGTCTGACCTCGGCGTTTTGACTTGAGACATGGAAGTGGCTTTCGTGCATTTTTGACTAAGTTTTTGAAACTTGTCTTTAGCTTATCTGTTTCAAGTCTCGGCTCACGTCCATTAAGCTGATGGGCCTTTAAACATGCATAGGATTTTTGGCAAACCCTCAGCCATCAACGGATTTGATAAGCCTTTACCGACTACCATTTGAGTCGGGCTAGCATATGGATTGTCTAAGTCCGTTCCATATGTAACGTTGTGCTAAGAGAATGAACTCTCTTAGACTTGATGTTATGATTTTGAATACATAGACTTTGTTATTTTTACGGAAAAAGACTAACCTGCAACGCGTGTTAGGCGTAGGCTTATCCCCACTTAGGATTTGGGATAAAGTTCCCCATACGTGTAAGGCATGAATTTTAGCGTTATTAATAACAACCTGCTACGATGTTGAATACGTAGACTTTTATCCTTTTTTACGGTGAAAGACTAACCGGCAACGCGTGTTAGGCGTTGACTTATCCCTACTTAGGATTCGGGATAAAATTCCCCATGCATGTGAGGCATGGATTTTGGCGCTACGATGTTGAATACGTAGGCTTTGTCACTATTTCTTCCTGTGTTATATTTTTACTTGAAACACTGAAAGAAAATTAAAAACGCCAGAGGTGTAATATTAACTTGGCATGAATTTCCACTTAGAGTGAAATTCAGAAATTTTCTTTATTATCACTAGGATGATTCCAGAAAATCTTTAATCCGTTGGGGATTTCATAATAAAAACTTGCTATTCTTGTTGAAAAAGGATTAACAAGTTCATTAGGGGGGTTTGACTGTTAGAGGTGTGATGTTAACCTAACAGTATTTTATGGACCTATCGCTCTATTGAGGAGAGTCGATAAGTGGATTTTTGTCAGAGGTGTAGTGTTAACGTGACAAGATGTGTGTTGCGATTGGAGCAACTTTATGGACTTATCATCCTATTGAAGAGGATTGATAAGTGAATTTGTCAGAGGTTTAGTGTTAACGTGACATGATGTGTGTTGCGATTGGAGCAACTTTATGGACTTATCATCCTATTGGAGAGGATTGATAAGTGAATTTGTCAGAGGTTTAGTGTTAACGTGACAGGATGTGTGTTGCGTTCGGGGCAACTTTGTGGACTTATCATCCTATTGACGAGGATTGATAAGTGAATTGTTGTCAGAGGTATATTGTTAACGTGACAGGAATGTGTTGCGATTGGAGCAACTTTGTGGACTTATCATCCTATTGACGAGGATTGATAAGTGGATTGTCAGAGGTATAGTGTTATTTAGGAATTAGCGTCTCGCTGGGGAAACTTGCTAAATGAGTTTATCATCAAAAGCGATAAATTTTGATGCTTGTGATTTGAACAAGATTTTGAAGACTTAGCGTCTTGCTGGGGAAGATTGCGATTTGAGCAATTTTGAGGACTTATAATCCTATTGTCAATGATTGATAAGTTGATTGTTGTCAGAGGTATATTGTTAACGTGACAAATTGGGAGTGATGCAAGTTGAATGCATACTCTGTGGGGATGATGATCGTCAGAAGTGTAATGTTAACTCGACGATGTGAAAGATTCGTTACTCTTAATCCAATGGATTCCAAGTAACCAACCCTCAGTCTTGATTAAGACTTAGCAGGGGAAGCAAAAGAGGTAAACAAGGCACATCGTCTAGTGAGGCACTATCCATGAAGTCGAAATAGAGGCACATCACCTGGTAGGCCATTATCTGATGAGTTTGACTATCAGAGGTAACTGTTAACGTGATAGTTTTTGTGGACCCGCCATCCTACTTGAAGAGGATTAACAAGAGAATTTGGAGGGAACGGACTATCAGAGGTAATCATTAACATGATAGTTTTGATAGACCCGCCATCCTATTTGAAGAGGATTGGTGGGGGAATTTGGAGAAAGCAGACTATCAGAGGTGATCATTAACGTGATAGTTTTAGTGGACCTGTCATCCTGTTGAAGAAGATTGGCAAGTTGATGGACTATCAGAGGTAAATGTTAACGTGATAGTTTTGTGGACCTGCCATCCTGTTGAAGAGGATTGGCAAGTTGATGGACTATCAGAGGTAAATATTAACGTGATAGTTGTTGGGCCCGCCAACCTACTGAAGAAGATTGGTGAGGGTATTTGAAGAAAATGAACTATCAGAGGTGATCATTAACGTGATAGTTTTAGTGGACCTGCCATCCTATTGAAGCGGATTGACAAGTTGATGGTCGTGATAGTTCTGGTAGATTTTATGGTTGACAGAGGTATTCTATTAAACATAACAACTCAGAAAATTTATTACTCATAATCCAATAAACTACCAATAAACCAACCCCCAGTCTTGAACAAGTGCAGGGGGAAAAGAGAAGACATGACACATCGCCTAGTGAATCATTATCTAACGAGTTTGACTATCAGAGGTAACCGTTAACGTGATAGTTATTGGACCCACAATCCTATTGGAAAGGATTGGCTTCAGTGGTCGTAGTATCTTCCCCTTCTGACTGAGGAGATTGGGCTTGGTCCGATTGCTCAGGAGAAGGTTGGGCTTGGTCCGATTGCTCAGGTTGATCCTACCTACTTTGTTCTTCAGCTTTGATCCTGGCAATAATCTTTTGAGCCTGTTCGCCTTGAGAGATTAGTTGTCTCCAAGAACGACATTCTGCAACCCCTATTCGAGCTAGGATGTTGGTCTGCAGGTTGTGTCGACAGGTCTCTACTAAGGTAGACTATGTTATACCTGTCGGGCATCGAAGCACCATGCTTCGGAACCTCTTGACGAAAGCTTTGACGGACTCCCTCTTCTTTTGCTTAGTGGATTCGGGCTAGGAGGTCGGTCTGCAAGTTGTGTCGACAGGTCTCTACTAAAGTAGACTGTGTCATACCTGACGAACACCGGAGAGCCATGGTTCGGAACCTTTTGACGAAGGCTTTGACGGATTCTCTCTTCTTCTGCTTAGTGGCGAGAAGGGTATGGATGGAGACTTCTGTATCCTCTTCAAAAAATCTTGACAGGAAGAGTCTCTCTAAATCTGCCCACTTTTGGATACATCCTGCAGGCAGTTTCCTGAACCATTCAAAGACAACTCCCTTGAGGATGCCAATGAACAATCGA